TCGTGTTCCGCAAGGTAGTATACTTGGTCCTCTACTCTTTCTAATCTTTTATAAATGATCTGCCGATGCCTATTTCTTCCTGGCGAGATTGCACACTTCTCCAGAATGATCTTACAATGCTGTCTGAGTGGTGTACCACCTGGAGCATGTCACTGAATGAGGAAAAGTGTTCTGCTGTCCATTTTAATAGTTCTACTAGACGGCCTCCTCTAATATTTAATTACAGTTTTAATGGAAAACATTTTTCCAAACCTCAACAGAAAGATCTTGGTCTACTTGTGTCAGCTGATTTGAATTAGCACCCCCACTATCAGTTAATAACATCAAGGGCTTGGCCTGTTACGCAGAGTGTTCTCCAGTTTTATGGCGGAGTCTGCCAAGCGTTCCCTGTACATTTCACTTGTAAGATCACAGCTGCTCTATTGTTCTCCTGTGTGGCATCCTTACTTATTGGCTGATGTGAAATGCCTTGAGCTACTTCAGAGAAGGGCGACTAAGTTCATAGTGAATGATACTTCTATGGACTACCGAAATCGTTTAATTCATCTTAATAGAAATTGCTGACATAATATTTTTTATCTGTCTGTGAGGTATCCATCGGACCACTTCAACATCTTAGATGTTGTGCAGTTCAGTGCTCATCATACTCGCTCAAGCTCCAATTTCTAGCTTAAACACAGTTTCCAGGAACTATATACAACGAAAACATATTTTACTTCAATCGCATACCTTGACTATGGAACTCTCTCCCTCCACTGGATATTAGTCTTCCTATCAAATCCAAACTTCACAATTACTTTTTGGACCATTTCATCTCCCATTTCAATCCCAATGACGAATGCTCCTATTACTATTTATGTCTGTGTTACAAATGCTCTTCACTACCTGTTAACATGCATTTTAGCAGTAATTCATTAGTGTATGTGTGTGTTGGTTTTGTTTTCTCGGATGCTGGCTCTTTGCCTGCAGTCCCTCAATACAGTCTTTATAATTATTCTCATTACCACTTTCTTTACATTGTCCTTGTAATTAGTACTCACTGTGTTGTAAAGCATAATAATAATAATAATAAAAGTATTACCTCAACTGCGAGCCCTGCTGCGAACAGGTCAATTCTTCGGTAAGCTGCAAGACGATATTTGGCATCACCGGTGTGGTCACTTAGGAGTACACAATCTACAGAGGCTAGCAAAGAAACAGCTAGTGCTTCAACTTTGATGGATACTTAAGAACTTTCGTTCAGTGAATACTGCACTGAAGAAAGCAACATCGAAGCAAGTTTCCTTCCAAGGGAAGAAACAGAGCAGAAGAGCCTCTTGGTCTAGTACACAGCGATCTGTGTGGAAAAATGACTAAAACCCCACAGAATGGGCCTCAATACTTCTCGACCTTCACTGATGACAAGACACATTTTGTATGGGTGTACATCCTCAACAGTAAGGACCAAGTCTTTGAACGATTTCTGAAATGGTGGAAAAATCAAGTGGAAGAAAGCTCAAACGTCTACGCACACATAACGGCGGAGAAGGAATTCCTGACAGTGCCAAAGACGCCCGAGCAAAATGGAGTGGCAGAACGTATGGGCAGAATGTATGAACAGAACATTGCTCGAAGTTGTTAGATCAATGCTGTCTGGTGCGAAGCTGCCACACACACATTTTGGACAGAAGCATTGTCAACGGCAGCTTACCTACAGAACCGGAGTCCTACCAAAGCTGTCAAAGGAATGACACCATATGAAGCCTGGAAGGGAGAGAAACCTGCAGTTGATCATCTGCGAGCATTCACCAATGTGCATGTACCAAAGAATGAAAGAAAGAAGCTCGACCCAAAGTCAAAAAGATGCATTCTGCTGGGCTATGGAACAGGGAAAAAAGGTTATCGGTTGTACGATCAGCAGAAACAGAAGGTTTTTTCAGCAGAGATGTTGCTTCAATGAACATGAGTATGCGTTTGAGAAGAATGTATTGGACAGATCGAAAAGCAGTAGGAAGCAAGTTTTCAAAGCAAAGGTCGAAGCTGATAGATCTGTAGAACAATACAAAGCTCACTTTATCGCTCAGGGTTTTTCAAATAAGTATGGCCTTGACTATGATAAAACCTTTTCCCCCTGTCATGAGATCAGAGTCCATTCGTACAGTGATTGCCCTTGCTGCTCAGAATGGTTTGAAGTTGCATCAGATGGACGTCACCACAGCATTTCAAAATGGTGAATTCGATGAAGTCGTCTACATGAAATAGCCTGAAGGGTTTATTGCTGAAGGTCAGGAGCATTTGGTCTGCCGATTGAAGCGAAGTATCTATGGCTTGAAACAATCTCCAAGATGTTGGAATCAGACACTGGACACAGAAACGTGGGTTTTGTCCAGAGCACTAGTGATCCCTGCATCTACACCTCCACTCGCTGTGTATGTTGACGACATTGTTGTAGCTGGGAAGTCAGAGCAGGCAATAGCAAATCTTAAATCAACCATCGCAAAGCAATTTCAAGTAAAGGACTGGGGGAACTGCACTACTTTCTTGAAGTGTGAAAAGAACCTCAAGACTGGAGAAACCTGGTTTGGTGCTTTGCAAATATGGAATGGACAGTATGTCCACATCTGTAGATCCAAGTACCAAATTACTCAAAGCTACGGAAGAAACCGAAACGGTAGATTCAGCACTCTACGAGTCTGCAGTTGGCAGCTTACTGCATACCAATCCAATTGGACCAGACCGGATATAACCTTTCCAGTTAGTAATGTCGCACGGTTCTGTGCTAACCCAACCAAACAGCACTGGACTGCAGTCAAACGGATAATGAGATACCTCACCAAACCATGGTCTTCAACTAACTGTGAAAGTTGTGTGGGGTATTCAGATTGGGCCGGAGATGTTAATGATCGAAAATCAACATCTGGATACCTTATCAAAATAGGTGGAACTGCAGTAAGTTGCAGAAGCAATAAACAAACATGTGTCGCTATGTCAACAGCTGAAGCTGAATACACAGCACTTGCCTGCAAGCTATCTGGATGAGACAGCTTACTAAGGATCTACAGAATGAACCAACTGGACCAAAGGTTTTTCATGAAGACAGCAACTTTTATGGCTAAGAACCCCCAGTTCCATGGAAGAACAAAACACATTGAAATCAGTACCACTTCGTTCAAGAAAAAGTTATGAATGGAACTATTCAGCTCCAATACTTGCCAAACGAATTCTTTGTGTTATGTAAACCTAGGGTAACAGTTTGTACATTGCACTTAAATAATCTAGGCTGTTACTCCCTCTTACGCTTGTAGAACATTCTATTCTGTATGGTATAAAAGCACAGTTGATCTTGTAGGGTGAGTGCATATTACGTAGGTTTAGTAACAACTCATATCATGTATGAGTATGCGTTATAGTAGACACAGAAGTGGTTTCCCTACAAAGCACTGGGACAGAGATACGTAGTTGTGAAAAACAAGCACGTACTAATTATGCTTGCATAAACACAGGATAGTGAACACAGGCAATTGAGTGAGCATGTATGTGTAACCACACATTCAAACAGAGCTAAATGTTCAGTCTGCAAACCTAGGTTGATGTCTGGAATATCAGGATTTATACTACAGGCCAATTCAGTGCTAAGTGCTGTGCTGAGGGTTTGTACTTATTAAGCCTTGGCGCACATGCACATCGAGGGTTACGGTAATTGTCGTGTGTGTCTGTCAGTCAGTCACTCAGTCAGCCAGTTCCACGACGTCTCACTTTGTGTATCTTGAAGGCACAATAAGTCACAACGAAGGGCGTGTATCGATTCCCGCATACTATCTACTGCTGTAGCTAGCCTGTGTCAGACTCTCTTCGAGCTACTAGCGTGGAGACCACGAGTAAACGCATACTAATAGCCCAGCCCATCAATTAGCGATACCGCACATGTGCAGTTCGCCGAGGGTTTGCACTTAGTGCTTTTTCATTTGTTTGTTTGTTGTCTTTCATCTTAATGTAGCTGATATGACAACACTTACAAGACAGTAAACTAACCTTTAACTCTCCAAGATTAAGTTTGAAGTCATGTGACTGGTGTACATTATATTTTAATGAAGGCATTACTGCAAGGCCTATTGTAGTCAATGCTCCCTTCAAGTAGGCTTTGGAAATGATAAAATACCTGAAAAAGGGAAGTTTATAAACAGTGTATACGTAGTTCTTTGCAAAATCCCCTCACTCAGTGTTCCACTTTTCAGAAGGATGTTCATTTCCAGTAAATGTCTTGTGTAAAAGGTTGCTATGTGGTGAGGGAATGGCACCGAGTCGGCAGAGTGACAGGGTGGGCCAGCCATCAGGGAGAGGTAATTCCCCCGAAACTGGAAGACCATACACTTCACCTTCCCCTATATTTGAACATTCGAATAACAGCAAGGGTTGGCACTCAAAAGGGACATGGTGACCATGATATAATGCCTGCTTTTCCTCAATGACTATGTTTGTTCTGCGTGCGTAGCAAAGTATTTCATTTGTCTGTTTTGCAAGATTTTCTGCGGCCAATACAAATTATTTTTGCGAAAAGCAGATGAGGAAAGGGATCTGGACACTTCTTGGTTGTGCTGACTTGATTGGGGACCAATCAGATTGCAGAAACGTCATACTATAGTTTGTAAGGCAGCTCCATGTAATCTCTGTAAAAACGGCCATTTTTCACATGCACCCAGCAATGAAAACGCACCACTACCTAGAGGGTTCCTAAATAGACCTTTTTCCTACCTTGAGGGCCAGGTTTGATACGTGAGACTGCATGGCCCCGGAACCCAGGCGCCTTTTGCACAAGCACATTTTGTGTGTAATAGGAGATTGTCCGTGTCCAATTGTTCCACACGAAATGTGCACATAAACAAAAAAGGCCTGGGTCAATCCCCAGGCTAACAAATTGTGACAGCTTACAGTGATTTTGCTGACATACATGGCAGAATGTGCATCTTTGGGTTAGTTTGACCCATTCATACCTTTTGCTTGTTCATGCTTAAGTTGACTTTGCGACCCTGCGTGGCACTATTTCCTACAGTGGGACACTTGGAACCATCTCATCCAAAATTTGATGTTACACAGATTATACCTTCGACCAGCTGCTCAATCATCTAACTGCCCACGGACTGCCGTCGATATGTACCTGTGCAATGGTCATATGGATCCAATAAAAGTACATTGCCAGTACACTGCAACTGCAGAAAATGTGACACTGATGAATGGTAGTCATCCTTCAAAACAGAATAGGAAACAAGAAGTGGAGTTGAATCAATTTCTGTGCGAAATAACCTAGGGGCAAGATAAGATAGTACACTATCACCATGCCTCATATATACCTACCTTAAAGATGCTGGAAGATTACTTTTCAAAGTCATCAGCTTTCCACTGATTCTCAAGCTGCTCCCTCCATAGTATGCAACACTATTGTCAACAGAGCAACTCTCCAGATGAACCCCACACTATAATATATGTAAAATTCATACACTTTAGAATGCATAAACTTGGTGCGGTATAATTAGTAGCAGCATTAGCGAGTTCTTAGAAACTGAAGATGTATTTACGAACTCTTGGCACCCCAATTATAAGCAGTGGCAATAGCAACAATACCAGTGAAGCCATATACTGATCTTGCAGTGAGAACACTAAATTAAAATATGCTGGTTTCTGTCATATTATCTACATAACAGAACTTCCTAGTGGCAATAAATGAAACTTGCAAACAAAACGACATTTTTTCTAACTTCCCTAGGTAGAAATTGAACCAATGACTTTCTGCACTCTAGGCAAGTGCTCTATCAGCTGAGCTACCAGGGCAAATCTGAAACACAAACCACTGTGGTATGGCACATTATATTCTCAATCAGCATGCAGGGGCAGACCGGTTAAAGCATTTGTAGTAATGGACAACAATAACAAAAGAACTCTGAAATCAATGTAAACAACACACACTTTTATAGTAGCTCTGGAGAGAGTTCTAGAATGTTCTGGGGTCGATGCGGCTATTGCTACGAGAAACCACTACATCTGTTCTGGTGTCGGCGCAGCTGTGGTTATTTGTAGGTTGAGAAACCACTACATCACTCCCCCATCCAGTGAGTTCAGGGAACGACATACACTAACCGGTCCGCAAAATGTATCCGTCTTCCAGAGCGAGTGACTCGTGTTGGTAATCCTGTACCTGTGGGCAGCGGGACGTGTTGTGGTTCTGATTCCAGGTAAGCAGGTTTCAGGTGGTCAAGCGACACTGTGCCGTTGCGGCCATTGTAGTCTATAGTCAAGAATTTTTCTGCCCTTTTTATAACATGATACGGACCATTGTCAGAGGTTTGTGGATTCCATCGTGGCGAACAAAAACGTGCGTACATGATGCAAGGCCTGGGCTGACGTGGACATTCCGCTGAGGCAATGGGCGAACTGGGGGTGCCTTGAGGTTATGCATGACATCTCTGCGGGATCAGTTACAGTGTGAGGGGTGTCCTTCTGGATAACCTCTCCCGGTAACCGCAGAGTTGTGCCATATATCAACTCCACGACGCTGCACTGTAGGTCACTTTTGACAACCGTACGGATGCTGAGCAATACGAGTGGTAGTGCCTCTACCCAGTGGGTCGATGCTGCATGAGCTTTGAGGGATGACTTGAGTTGCCTATGAAATCTCTCCACAATTCCATTGTGATTGGGTGATATGCTGTGGTTCGCAAATGATTGCATCCCAGCAACTGGGTTAGTTGTCACCATAGCTGGGACTCGAATTGGCGTCCTCGATCTGTGGTGACAGAACTTGGTACTCCGAACCTCGCAACCCAACCGCTCACAAACGTCAGTGAAACTGCTTCTGCAGTGATGTGTTGCATGGGGAAGGCCAGCGTGTAAAGCAGTTAATGCACATCAACAGGTACGAATGTCAGCGAGAGTGTGGTAGCGGTTTGACGATATCGATGTGAACTTGGGAAACACGGGCATCCGGGTTTGCAAAGTTGACAGTGGTGTAACTGTGTGCCAGTGAACTTTCGACTGCTGGCACTGGCGGCATGACTGTGTCCATGAGCGGATGTCTGTATTCATGCCCGGCCATACGTAACGGTCAGTGATTAGATGCTGTGTCGCCCGGATTCCAGGATGAGACAATGAATGTAGGGCGGTTAACACTGTGTAGTGGGCATGAAGGGACGTGGGGTGCCAGTACTGATGTCACAAACAAGTGTGGTAGGTGGGTAGAGATGAGGGACAACTGCAAACTTTAGAGCAGTAGATGAGGAAGTTTGAAGTGCCTGGAGCTCCCGGTCATTCGTCTGTGCCTCGGCCAAGGCTCTGAAGTCCATAGCAGTAGGCTGCGGCATTTTAAACCCACCAACTGCTGCTCGTGAAAGTGCATCTGCCACTGAATTAGCCCCTCCACTCACATGCCATATGTCCCCTGTGAACTAGGAGATAAAGTCGAGGTGACAAACTTGGCACTGGGAGAACTTGTCTGAATGGGTTGAGAGAGCAAATGTTACTTGTTTGCGGTCTGTGAGTATGAAGAACTCACGTCCTTCAACGAAGTAGCGGAAGTGTTTTGTCCTTCAACGAAGTAGTAGAAGTGTTTTATGGCAAGGTACACTGCCAGAAGTTCACAGCCACTGTTCACAGGTGCTGCACTTCCTCTCTGCTGGGCGGAGTTTCCTGGAGAAGTATGCGATTGGGCGCCAACCGCCACCCACATCTTGTTGTAGAACAGCACCCACTGCGCATTCCGAGGCATCCGCCATAATGCAAGCTCGTGCATGCGACTTGGGGTGAGATATAAGACAGTGAGAACCTCTTTGACTGCTGTGAATGCTGTGGAAGCTTGCTCGTTACAGAGAGGTTGCCGTGTGTTAGATCCCGGATTGGAGAGGAGGTTGTTGAGGGGATCTAGAAGGGTAGCACAGTGGGGTATGAAATGGTGATAGAAATTGACTAGTCCGAGAAATTCATGGAGCTTGCGGAGAGATGTGGGGCCGGAAAAATTGCGGATGGCAACCACCTATCTCCGAGGGGATGGATACCCTGTGCACTCACTCGATGCCCTACAAAATACAGCTGTGGAACTCCCAGGACACACTTGCTATGGTTGATAATCTCGTGGTCACTCAAACGCTGCAAGATCTGGCGGAGGTGTGCGCTGTGCTCTTCTGGAGAGGCGCTGGCAATGAGAAGATTGTCCATGTATGCGTATACGAAGGGAAGTCCTTGCAGTACCTGATCTATAAAACGCTGAAATGACTGTGCGGCGTTCCTTAGCCCAAATGAATTCGAATAGACCAAATGGAGTCGTGATTGCAGTTTTCGGTACATCGGATGGCTCTACCTGTATCTGGTGGTAGGCTCTCACCAGGTCGATCTTTGATGCTCCATACAAGGAGACTGAGAAGTCGTGAATGTGGGGAATAGGATAACGGTCAGGGACGGTGGACTATGTTGAGGGCCTGATAGTCCCCACAAGGGCACCATTCACCCAGAGTCTTCTTAGGAACCATATAACGACTGGCCAGAGAGTTTCCCAACCTCGAACAAGTTGGGGTGCAGTTCCGTGCTTTGTCTCCAAACCTAGCATGGTACCAACAGAGGCCAGCACTTGGGGGCGGTGTGCATGATTGCCTTTGGACACGACGTGACGACGGTGACTGTGGCCGTGGGGATCGGGGTGGCGATCACTCGCATAACGAGAGTGGAGACTAACTTCGTAAAGCGATCAACTTCTTAGCAGAGGGAGTCAACTGCGCCGCCGACTTCTGTGGGCGGTGTGAGCGCCGAAACGGTTGAGGGTGAAATGTCGACTATTTTGTCGGCTAGCTGTGCGATATCCTCGAGTGTCTCATCTGCGTCGACGGAGTCTAATACCACACAAATGTTCGAGGGCAAACGTTGCAAAAACAGCTCACGGAGGAGGCGCCTATAAGAAGCAGTCGGTATGTCTCCTAGGAGTTGTCTCATCCGTCGTAGAAGCTGGGACGGCTTGGCATCTCCAAACTCTGTGGTGTTGAAGAGCAGCTACAGTCGACACTGCTCTGGGGGGCAGGTCTGTTGGATCAGTTGTGTATGAGGTCTCACACCTCAGCACTAAGCTCCGCAGAGAGGGAGGCGACGACAAAGTCATACTTCGTCCTCTGCGAGGTAATGCCGCATGTAGCTTCCAACTCCATTACCGACTTGCAGAAGCAGGGGAAGACAATTGAACAATTTGCACTGGACAATGCTTTGAAGCTGAATGCAACCAAGACAAAACTAATCAAGTTCTCTGCCTGTGCTTTCAGAAATCCAACTGACTGACCAGTCTATCTCTACTCAGCGGACAGCTAAATGCCTTGGATACTAGTGGCATACCAACCTCACACCAGTGAAATCAATTGAAGAGAATATCAGCAAAGCTCGTAGGGCTTTCTTTGCCCTGGGTTCTATCGGTGCCTACCAGGGTGCCCTAAACCCACTCTTTAGGCGTAGCCTCTTCTCCACTTTTGTGCTGCCGATACTCCTCTACGGCAGTGAAAACTGGATACTCACCGAATCCTTATTAAATACTGTGGAGAAGTTTCAGGCATAAATCGGTAGACGCATTTTACGACTACCCGAATACTTGGCTGTTGTCATTGCTCTGCACTGGCCAAGAATGAGAGTTTGCATCCGTCTAAGAAGTTAACTTTTCTAGTGAAGCTTCTCCAATCTACCAGCGACAACCTCAGCTCTCGTGTTTTCCGTACACTTGCCTCTGACCAGACTGATCAGTAACATCAGTCTGGTCGAGCAATGTCAGCTACTTGAAAGTGAGTTGGTAATCATTCGTGACACAATGTCTTAATGACCCTGGAAATGCTCAATTAGTACTGCAAGAAGCAAAAGAAGTTCTGATCTCAAGGGACTGGGAAATTGTGCTAGAGATGGCCAAGTGTCACCAGTCGACTAAGCACATTGCTGACCCCTCCTCATGGTGCAAGCTATGGGACATCGCCCTAGATCACGGGGTTCGTGGAACTCGTTTAATTCAACATCTACTGAGTGTAATGTGCAGACCAGTGTCCCATCTGCAACAACACCATCCACCAGAGCACTTCGAACTTTGAGCACGTGAGCTCAGACCACTGCAACAATGACATATCTGTCGCGGGAGTTCTTTAAGCCATTGAAGGAGGTGTTCACGAAGACATCCTCACGATTGCCACTACCCTCTCCAATTCTCTCTAATCTCTTCTCATGTTCACGTCATTTATATATACTTTTATTTTCCTGTATGCATAATCGTTGTATCCCTCTTGGGGCTCATAACATGAACTTGAACTTGAACGTACAGTAGTCGTTCAGTCTGTCTGTCGACGCTCATCCTGGCACTACAGGCTACAAGGTGGCCAATGAAAAATACCAATGGCTTCAGAACTATGCGAACCAGAAAATTAATTAGGCGATTTTTCTGAAACGACTGCGTGAAAAGAAGCGAAAAAGCCAACATGCATAATCGCGCTGCGCTGGCTTACCTCGTACTGATCTGCCTACTCCGAGTACCTTGGAGGCCAAAGAAGTTACAACAGAGGGCGTGTATCGACTTCTGAATGAAATCTACTAGTGTAGCTAGCCGGTGTCAGACTCTCCGCGAGCTATATACTAGCGGGAGATCACGAGTAACTGCATAGCCTAGCCCCCAGCCCGCGATACCGCGCATGCGTAGTGCGCCGAGGGTTTCAACTTTAGTGCTTGTATATGGCTGGCAATAAACAGCGATATTTAAAAGGAAGTCAAGTGTGAAATGGCTGAGACGATCTTGGCTTCATGAGAATTGCCTCCTTCAAATGTGACAGTTGTCTTTGCATTGCTTGCATCAGAGAATGATCATTCATTCCCGGACAATGAAGAATGAGTTTGCCATCAGTCTCTAATGCCATGACCACCTATCATTGCATTCAAAAGAGCGAATTGTCAAGAAGCCAAGACCATTTCAGGACATTGCACTGGACTTCTGCTCATATTATGTTGGGCAAAAGTTCCTCATCATTGTTGACTACTACACAGATTGGCCCCACTTCATTTACAACACAACTACCACTTCTCCTCAAAGCGTTCTGGAGCAACACACCAAGGCGTAAATCACTGCCAAGGTGTTCATCGGACTCCAACACATTACCTCATTCCCACTGTACCCACAGAACAACAGGAAAAGGAAGGCCGCAATCAAATCCTTATCCAAGCAGCATGGAATCTATGACTGAAAACTCACTCAGAGGCCTAGTTCCATACCTCAACACGCTGTCCCTGCGGCATTGACTCTCACCTGTGCAAAAGCTCCTTGGACAGGACACCATTGCCAGGTGTTTGTACCAGAAAGGCATAAAAACACAGAACAGGTAGAGCACTACTACAATATGCTCAGGCTCTCCCTGAAATCGGTGTAGGCTCTATTGTGGCCATCCAAAACACTGTCACAAACTGTGGGACATTTAGGCGTAGTCACAGCCATTTGCCCACATTGCAGGTATTTTGTGATGACTCCAGTGGCCATGTTCTAACAAGAAACCGTCGTTACCCCCGATGCTGTATACCACTCACCTATACAGCTGGCCCACCTACTGCCAATCCTGCCCCTGGCCACCACCCAAACCTTCACAAGGACACTCAACTCCAGTCAGAAAAGTCGCCCCATGGAAGAAGTTGCATTTGCCGAAGTTTTTAAGGTGTGGGAGGGGGGATGTAGAGTAATATTATGCAAGCATTATTACTGATTGTGTAATCATCTCTGTACACATGGTCGAATGTATGGGTTTGCTTCCCTCAAAGTATACACCCTGATTCATAGGTGATATTTCATGCATTCAGAAACGATAGCAACAGCTTTCTATTCTGTGGTTGATTCGGCCGTGTGCAGTTGAGAAGAGAGAATAAATCCCATTACTGTGGAGAGCAGAGCAAACACAATTCCATTCCTGGGTCTTGTACTATAATGGGTTGCAGCTGTGGAGGTGTGGGTGTTGATAAGTTGTGGGGTAAGTTATTGAAGCACAGAGTTGAGGTTCTCGACAATGTCACAAGCTGTTTGGCGGCCTCTTACGTGTCGAGGCTGAGGTACACGCTCTATTTTGACTGCCCTGTCTACATGCAGGTCGAGTTTGGGCCAGTCTCCTGGTGTATGACATGGTCAGGGTGAGTCAGCGAGGTTCGTTCTTCAGTCTTTTTAGCTTACCATAGATTTGACAGTGTGTGCAGAGATTATTACACAACAATCAGCATAAAGCTCTGTCAGAACATGTTTGGTTAGCTAGTAATCTAGTTCATTGGGACAACGTGTCTGTTCTATCTAACTGTCTTGATTATATGTGACTTTCCTCATAAACTGCCTCAACACTTGAAGAGAGACACAGGTCTCTGTCTCATCATCTTGTTTTAGTTCTCAGGCGCATTTTGTACCTTCTGTTCCATCTTCGCTCTAGTTTGGCTAGAGTGAGTAGTCAACTTGAAGTATGGCTTCATAACAAACTTTATTGGATGTAGTTGTAGATTGAACTATTTTTAGTATAACATTATTAACTTAGTTACAGGCAGTCACACCCAGAAAAAGCAATGAGTACCTTGTAAATATACCTTGACATCATTTCTGAGCATGGTAGAAAAAAAACTTGGCTGAAGGTCCTGAGCACTGAGGTTGCTCCAGTGACCAAGGTGCACAAGCACCCCATCAACAAACATCATCTCCCCACATCCACGACTGAAGGATGAAACCATGGGTAGAGCATGCGGCTCACCAACTGGACAGTAAGGTTCCAGTAACAACCAGAACCTGTAAGTAGTAAAAGAAAGTGGCTCATTTGCGCAAAACCGCTATGGTGTATAACACTGATTGTCAGATAAATGAAAAGCACTGAAGTGCAAACCCTCGGTGCATTGTGACGCGCACGCGTAAGTAAACGCATGCATCGTGCCACTAATTTATGGGCTGGGTTTAGTGTTAGCTGTTACTCGTGGTCTCTTGCCAGCTCGCGCAGAGTCTGACGCGGGCTAACTACACTACTACATAGCATGTGAGAGGCGATACACGCCCTGCGTTGATCTTCTGGTGCCTCTGAGGCACGCAGAGCACGCGGATCGATCAGACCATGGTAAGCTATCCCGTCCGTTGTGTATTTGCATAGCTTTCCAACGGAGCAGTTTCAGAGATAACCATTCGAAATTTCTGACCTTCATTGCCCGTTAAGTAGGTCGTATCCTTTGTGAGACGAACAAACACCCGAGTGAAGTGAGATGTAGAGTAACAGACAGACAGACAGACAGACAGACACACAGATAGACCTAACTACTGTACCCTCGCTGCGCATGCACGCCGAGGATAATAATCATCGCCCTGAGTCATTACTAGAATGTTATGAGAAGTTTTTGGTAATTTGTTCATGTTTCCAACACACAGATAAAGCCATAGTAACATTTGCTGTGTATGCAAGCTGAGTGTTAGTACCCTCCCAAGTATGGTAGTACTTAGTATAAATGAAAAGCACTAAAGTGCAAACCCCCAGCACACTACGAATGCGGGGTATCGCTAATTGATGGGCTGGGGGCTAGGCTATGCAGTTACTCGTGGTCTCCCGCTTGTCCACGCTCGGGTTGATTGAGTGCATTTTCCATGTGATTTTCCAATGTAAAAATGAATGATGAGCGAATGTAGTGAGCATGCCTGACTGAGTTGTTTAGGATAAAAGAATTTTTGAAAACAGTTGTAGCTAGCAGAGAGTCTGACACGGGCTAGCTACACTAGTAGATTGCATGCGGGAGTCGATACACGCCCTCTGCTGTAACTTCTTGCGCCTCCAAGGTACGCCGAGTAGGCCGATCAGTTCGAGGTAACGATTATGCATATTGGCTTTTTGCTTGCTTTCACAGCATATCTCTCGAACGCAGCCGTTTCAGGAAAATCACCCTTTTTTAAGGTTCGCGTAGTTCTGAAGCCGTTCATATCACTCATTGGCCACCTCGTAGCCTGTAGTGCCAGAATAAGTGTCGACACACAGACACACAGAACGACTACTGTAACCCTCGCTGCGCATGCGCGCCGAGGGTTAATTATACAGGGATGACAGAGGTTGTCCTGCATCATGCCCATACATTTGACAATTCATTTTCAGTTTCAATCAAATCCCACTTCTGATATATCAGTCTGATCCGTATTGTCAAAAAGAGCATATACCTAAGAAATGGCTTAAATCGGTAATTGATTTAATCAAGAAAGTCTGTTTTAAAAATTAATTGTAGTTGTTGTCAGTTTAGACAAGTGTATCTCAAAACCTGGGTAAGATATGGAGATGAAACTTTGCATAGATATTGGAATCCATGACAGGTCGTGCAAGAGAACTTTTATTTCTTCGTTAACAATTTTGTTTACAAGTAAACAACAAATAAACAACAAAATAGCCCAAGGCCATACATAATGGTGGAGACAAACGAAGTGTGCTTGATAAAACATCGTACACATATACAACCCATCATTAGTAACAAATTGTAAACATTACAAGTTTGTAAACACAACAAACAGCCTCAGGCAATAAAAACTTGTAAACTGTGTATAACTTGCTTATTGTGGGTCCTCTAACAATGACTCTTGGTACACTGATGTACCATGATAAGAGTTCATCAACACATATTACACGTTTGTAAACAACAACAAACAGTCTCAGGCAATTAAGTGCTGTTTTTTGCTTTATGCTAATGAAACTTTGTACACTTATGTATACACATGTAGACGACGACAAAGAGCCTGAGGCAATAAATACATGTTACTTTTTATATGGGCATTATGCCCCAATGCATGACTCAACAACTTGGTTACAAGGGTAGAAAGGCAACACAAGGCAAACAAGTCAACTACACCCAGGACAGCTCTTCTTTTCAAAGAAAAGAGGAAGAGCTACCCTGGGTGGGATTCGAACCCACGACACTCTGCAGTCAAGGCGAGCACTCTACCAACTGAGTTACCAAGGCAACTCAGCTGGTAGGGGTTCGAACCTACAACACAACACAACACAAGGCAAACCTCAAACCACTGTGCTATGGCACAGTATACTCTCACTCAGTATATACGAGCAGACCGGGGTAACCAAAGATGCCCAACTCCAAACCGAGTATATGCATGTCGCAACAACTTGGCAAACAAGTCAACTACACCCAGGACAGCTCTTTCTTTTCAAAGAAAAGAAGAAGAGCTGCCCTGGGTGGGATTCGAACCCACGACACTCTGCAGTCTAGGTGAGCGCTCTACAAACTGAGCTACCAGGGGTAACTCAGCGGGTAGGGGTTCGAATATACAACACAATGTGCATGCCGTAAAAAAGGAAAGAAGACAAGTAAATAAAAAAATTGGGTCATTGGTTGCTCGTGTAAATTTTCCTTCACATAAAGCCCTATATTGTCGCGAAGCATGACTGTGCTCCCACATAGAACGACTCATTTCCTAAGCACGTAATGCACAGGTGTTGCATTGTGTGCAGTCTAAGACTTCCGTGTTCGCTCAACCAACGATGAGTTTTACAATGCTGTGTTCTTGGCCCTCTAGAGAACCCCTTTGTCATTGTCCTCACACTAAACAAATTGATGTTGTGAGAAAGGTGCCGACAATAAAGGGCTTGTGTGCACAAGAAATGTGCCTAGGTGAAGTATTAAACATTCAACATTACACACTTACAGCATGAAAATAAAAAAAAAAGTCATGCTACTGAGTAACCAACAGTACAAGTGGAGTTTACGAGTGGCACACCAGGCAACAATATAGGATTGTGTGAAAGGGGTCGGGGTGCTCAAATCTGTTCATTAACCATGCTCCATGCATCCCATCCCTATCTTGTCTCCCAAGAAGATGCAGGATAGAGCACAGAGCATCGAGTTTGCGGACCTGAGTGACGTCCTGGCCCTAGCTCTAGCCCCTACAAGCACCATCCAGGCTACGGCGTCTGCCAAAGAAAAGTAATTGTTGTGGTATGAAACATGAGGCATAGGTTCAAAGATGAAACATGCTGCAGGTGTCGTAAATAAAGTCACACTGCGCCTTGCAGAAAATTCCCTGTTTTCACTAAGTGGGTTGATGTGGAGGAATTGGATGACAAGCCCCCATTTTCTTTTCTTAGCAGAGAAGTCTTACTGTCTTTTGACCGAAGCTCGGCACAGGTGTAGCTGTTACCATCATGTCTGAAGAAAATGTTTCTCAGCTGTTCCCTAGCCAACGTTCTTTGACAAATTCGAAGACATATACTAGAGAACCATTCAGCTTCCTTTAGCTCCTGTTGTAGATAAAAACCTAACATGGTTGACAGAGAGGGGCATTGAGTGAGTATTATTTACTTTGTTGCCTACTAGAGTAAAAGAACAGTAAAAAAGTGTGCCACTATACCCTGTGCAACACATCCTTATTAGAGGAGTAGTAGAGGTTCTGCTGCCTAGGCTCTCCTCCTACAACAATTGAGCAGAGCTACAGAAGCTAAGAGGAGCAATTACAGGTGGGAGAAACGGGAAGCTAGCATGTGGCGATGCATAGAAGACCTAGAGAACAGACTTGCATCTCCACCATTGAGAAGTACAGGTGTTATGGATACCCAGAGGACAATGGCTACTAAGATCGAATTGGAATCTACAAGTTTACGTGGTGCCACACATTCTGGCGTTGAAAATCCAGCTGCAAGTGTTTCACAATCATCAAATAGCCAAGACGACATGATGAGTTGAGATAAGGAGAGTCGTGACAACCTACATCGGTCTACAAGTTTAACATCAGAGACTAAGGTCAAGATAAGAGGGATAGCAACCGGTCGAATACCAATAATTTATTGGAAAAGATCAGCCGGGAGGAGGGGGAAAGCTATACCAACCTGTGCCATACTGATAGTTCACCGACAGCGGAGGAGAGAGTAGGGATGGAGGACTGGTTTCGCTGTAGCGGTATCACCTTTCACCCCCACACAGGAGATGGCAATTCTTGGAGGTGGCTCGGTGGAGTCTTTCAGTGGAGTAGAACATACCGACATACCCCCTGTTCTAATCCAAGCAAACCAATTGAACACATTATCAATGGGTATACTTTCACAGCAACTCCCATCACTGCCTAATTATTCGGCGACAGTGTGGACAATGATGGGGAAGGGTACAACGACTGGCTGGAATGCCTCCAGCTAGTAGCAACTACCTGTGGATGGAGCGACCAAGCAAAGCTCGTGAATGTGGCACCCCGACTACTCGAAACTGTCGCTCGTTTTTACAGGTCACGCACACCACAACGGTCAAACTATTCAGCGTTGACGACAGCTCTACGCCAAAGATTCATCCCCGTTTGTATACAGTCCGTGCAGAGCAGCAATTTCCACGAACACAAGCAGCTGGGGGTGAAAGAAGCAGAGAGCAAAGAGCTCAAACAAGTGGTGAAGGAATTTTCCAAACTGTTTGCACTGGACAGCAGTGAGCTCGGACGGACTACTGCAACCTTGCACACCATCAACACAGGTGATCACCCTCCTATAAAACAACCACCTCAAAGGATACCCATTTCGTTACGGGAGAAAGTGTGTAAAATGGTACAAGACATGCTGGAGCAAGGAGTGATAGTCCCATCAGCCAGCCCCTGAGCCAGTCCAATCATGTTGGTAGCAAAGAAAGATGGCTCAACATGGATTACCGGAAGCTAAACTCAATCACTAAACTAGATGTACCCTCTTCCCATTATTGATGACTCGCTAGACCTCCGCTGATACCAAGTTTTATCATCACTCGATTTGTGCTCTGGATATTGGCAAGTGAGCATGTTGGAAGATTCCCAAGAAAAGACGGCATTCACAACATACATAGGGTGGTACGAGTTTAGAGTTATGCCGTTTGGGCTCTGCAACGCTCTTGCAACCTTTCAACGCCTCATGGAGAGTGTCCTCACTGGATTGGTCGGAGAGAAATGCATCATTCACCTGGACGATGTCCTGGTCATTGGGCCCACCTACAAGGAACACCTGGACAATCTCAGGGAAGTGTTTACCTGACTCACCAAAGCGGGCCTTAAAATCAAGCCAAGCAAGTGTAAACTCGTTCAGAGTTTCTGGGCTATGTCGTGTCCTGTGAGGGAATCTGCATGGATTAAAAGAAATTAGCAGCCGTGGCAGAGTTTCCCAGACCCAGTAATCTACGTGCATTGAGGGCCAACTTAGGACCCACTTCTTACTATCACCGCTTTGTGCCGTCATTCTCCACGCTCGCTCAGCTGCTCGACAAGTTGACAAAGAAGGACGTGCCTTTTGTGTGGTCAGATGTGTGCGAGGAAGCATTTCAGGGATTGAAAAGGGTACTGATGACAGCTCCCATACTTGCCTACAAAAATTTCAGCAGAGACATCCTCCTAGAAACAGATGCATCTAGGAGCTGTGTTGTCCCAGAGACAAGAAGACAAGACTATCCGGCCCATTGCCTTTTAACCCTGCTGCACTGGGGAGGCGAATGGACAAGCGGACGCCCTCTGCAGATGTCCAGTTCGAGCTCAATCAGATAGGCCTACAGAAACAATCCCAGTGGTGGTGAGCTCCATTCAAGTAGAGATAGGGACAGAAATTCAGAGCGGGGAGGAGAATGACACAACGAGAAGGGAAGAGTCAGAGACAGAGAAACAGATCCAGAGTTGAGAAAAAAGGGTCAGGGACAGTCACCCAAAGCGCAGCCGTCACTCCCGTCACCCAAGACACAGCCATCACTCCAACCACACTAGTAACTCGAGAAACCGCCGCCCAGAGTGGAGAAGGCACAGCCCAACAGTGCCTTTCGGAACAGCAATATGGAGACCCCGAACTTTGGAATGTCATACAATATCTGCAGAGTGGGGTCCTACCAGAAGACAATGTAGATGCTCGGAAACTCACCATGAGTGAAGGCCAGTACTCCATAGTCGGTGGCGTGTTGTATAACCTAAGGGAGGCCAAAATCCACAGCCAGCTGGCCCGTCACTACTGGTGGCCTGCAGAGGGACATAGGTTACTGGTGTAGCGCATGTCTCACCTGCGCGACTTGAAGTCCAGGATGCCCATTACGACCACCACTCACTCCTATGCCTGGGTAAGTGGACAGTTTGACAGTTGGCGTGGATGTGCTACAACTGCCAAAAACTAAAAGAGGGAGTCAATATGCCATAGTATTTGTTGACTATCTTACCAAGTGGCCGGGGGTATACGCTACACAGGATCACACTGTACCAACTATCGCCAAGCTTCTGGTGGAGGAAATAAAAAGCCGCCATGGCGTACATAACCAGCTGTTGTCGGATCGTGGACCATCATTTTTGTCAAAGTTGATGCTGGAGGTGAGCAGAGTAATGGGAGTTAAAAAAGGTAAACACCAGTGCCACCTTGGCCATTCTCTCCCCTCTACTTACACCTTTTCCTAAAACTCACAACTACTATAACTCGGCCCATACATACTCTGATAGATTCCCACAATCCGATGGCCTCGTTGAGAGATTCAATAGAACTCTCATAGACATGCTGTCCAACTCAGTAGCACCAGGAGTTAGTGAGTGTGATGAGAGAATTTTATACGTCCTATTCGCGTATCGAGCCACGACTCAGTCTTCCACTGGTGAATCGCCATTTGTCTATTATATGGACGTGATCCAAAACTACCAACTGAGACCGTCCTATCTCTGACACTTCCACGTGATCAGATCGTTCTGAACAACTACATGACACACTTGACGAGGGAAATGAATGAAGCCTGGAAGCTGGTGCAGGAACAAGTCCAAAAGCCCAGAAGAAACAAACTCCAACACGACAACAAGGCCACTACCTCACAGTCTTAAATCAGCGAGAGAGTATTCCTCTACATGCCAGGATTGAAGACTGGGCCTAACTACAAGCTGGGAGGACCGTTTAAAGGTCCGTACACAGTGGTCCATACACAGAGCTACCCGAATGGAGTGAAACTAGTTCCAGTGGACAAACCAAATTCGAGTTGCCATGGATCGTATCAGGAGATGACAATCATTGGGAATTCTGCTAGCCAAAACCTTCTACGGCCAGAAGACAGCAGAGAGACAGATACCACACTTAAACCAGACTCCAGGTCTCGGCCACAGTCGTCAGGACAGCAGTCAGTCTCTCAGCCACAGTCATCAGGACAGCAGTGAGTCTCAGCCACAGTCATCAGGACAGCAGTGAGTCTCTCAGCCACAGTCATCAGGACAGCAGTGAGCTTCAGCCACAGTCATCAGGACAGCAGTGAGTCTCTCAGCCACAGTCATCAGGACAGCAGCCAGTCTCTCAGTCACAGCCGTCAGGACAGCAGCCAGTCCCTCAGCCACAGTCGTCAGGACAGCAGCCAGTCTCTCAGCCACAGTCGTCAGGAGAGCAGACAGAGAGATCACAAGAGACTGTTTGGCCAAGATTTATTACAGTTGGACTAGGGAGCCATTGGCCAGGTCACGCAACTACAGCTGACTTACTTCCTTGTGCAGTACAAAAGGAGTGTTCATGCAAGGCCTGGGGCACCAAAAGGCAACATAGCAACAATTGTGATAAGCCACATCTCTTAATGCCCCCACCTCCATCATTTCCAACCTCTTAACTCTCCTTCCTCCATTACTTCTTGGAGCCCCTCAGAAACAGCATTCAGGTCATGCTCAGTCTCAATCATTGCAACCCCAGCCAGGAGATTGTGCCGGCAGGCAATTTCTCTGCATATAGTGTTATTTCTGTCCACACAAAATGCCAGATGGCCAGGAGGATGTCCAGCTCCCTGACTGAGGCAAAGTAGAAATAGAAGAGAGTCTGGTGTGTGGGTTTCTGATACAGAGGTTCACGAGTACGCCCGGTCCCACGCGCGACGTTAGGACAAGCGTGTCTCCCGCTCTTGGGCTTTTTCGAACGCACACTAAACACGTGTCGCTTTCGGCTGCGTGACGACTCTCTCGCGGTTAGTGGCAGTGGCAGAGTATTCCCCAGTGTCTGGCGGTCTGGTGTAGTTTTGACTTTGCTCTGGCCAGTTGGTCAGTTGAGGAGCCCAAGTACTCATGTGGATCAGCTTCAGGCTCTTACCTGATCAATGTGTCTGTGCCTGAGTTGCCAAATAAAGCTAGAGTGACCGAGCTGATATCAAGGCCACAGAGGGTGACATGGCTGAAGAAAAGAGACGGTCGTGGGTAGACCTTTGTTGCGACTGTTGCGGCTAACTTCAACAGCTGGGTCAGGTCTCAGAAACAAGGAACTAGGTGTCCTCCAGTAGTTATGGTACACGGAATGCAATCTAAACAGATGAAATGGCAAAAATAATAGAGTGGCCACAAACAGGTTGGAAAGGGAGAGGTAGGATTCCTCATGATATTTAGCGTGATTAGATGTTCTGAGGTATACAAGTACAAGTAAAAGAGCATTATGCATGGAACAAAGGCACACAAGGAACAGCAAGTATGAATATTACGTAGCAGTATGTAAGTACTGAAAGTGGAAACTTAATTGCATTCTCGTACTCGACCTTCTTGTTTCTAGTTCTATCACTAGTACTTAGTATATAGGGATGGGCATGGTACCTAGCATCATAGATGTATGGGGCTATAATAGGGAGTTTTGTTCATCTCCTCCTTCTTCTTCTTCAGATTCAACACCCATAACTCAAAAACGAAACAACATTTAGAGAGAGCTAGGTTCGAATTGACCAATCAGATTGCAAAGCCGAGGTTTACTAAATCCTGTAGTAAACCTCGACGGGGTTTACTACATGTACGTAAGTAAACCTACATAACTACATAACATAATGTACATGTAAACAACAAAATCAACAACTGAATCTACATTGACGCGTCTTCCACACGCACGCGCAGACTGTCACGCGCACAACCAGAAAAAGAAGGCGAGGTCGCTACCGCGTGTCTCGGCCGCTTCGCTCTTCTTGCACTGCATTTTATGGCGCTCTGAGCCTGCCTCCATCGAGTCATCGTTAGAAGCGCTCTGCCATACGAACGAACAGGAAAGCTAGAGTGCTCAACGTGAAGCGCTCACTCTAAAATAGTTAGACGCTGATTCCTCGGTAACCACGTGCCTGTAGAAAGCCTCGTGCCCCGGGGGTAGCGCTCTCACTGCGCTCGGGGAGCCACAATGCCGGGGCTCTCGGCTTTCTACTGCGAGTAGTTACCTCGAATCAGCGTCTAACTATTGTTCTAAACATTGTTTACTGTAAACAACAACAAATAGCTCCAGGCAATACATTATAATGGGATCACATGTGTCAGTGTAACTCACAATTGGTAAGAGCTATGTGAACGAAACTTTATAGACATAATGTATTTAATCACCAACATTAAAATCACAACAATACATGTTTGTAAACAACAACAAATAGCCTGAGGCACTTTCTTTAAATATACTTCTTCACTTCTCAAACTTTCCAATGGTAGCACGTATAGACATGAAACTTGGTAGGTATGCCTGTTATATCGTTTCCATCACAATTACATGTTTCCATGACGACCGCATAAAGCCTCAGGCACTTTTCTATAAAATTACTTCTTCACTCCTCAAACTTGCTAACTGTAGCACGCATGGAGGTAAAACTTGGTGTATTACATTGTTTCCATGACGACAACTACAACAAATAGCCTCGGGAACTTTTCAATAAAATTACTTCTTCACTCCTCAAACTCTGTAACAGTACCACGTATGGAGATGAAACTTGGTACGCATGTGTGTAACATCGTTTCCATGACGACCACAACAATAAATAGCCTCAGGCAATTTTGTATAAAATTATTTCTTCACTCCTCAAACTCTCAAACAGTACCACGTATGGAGATGAAACTTGGTACCCATGTGTAATACATCATTTCCATGACCACAACAGGCAATTTTCTCCATTAATAATTTGTTTAATCTTGTCTGCCTTTGTTTTTATACCATCCCTATATGCCTGTTCTTTAAAATCGCAGGATTTTCGATTTGCTTATCTCTAAATTTAGCCCTTATGTACTGACACATTCCCTTTATTAAGGCACCAGACTACAGCCTGAACTATGTACAAGTGGTTAGCCACAATTGCATTGTAATTTTGCAGAGTTAAAAGGTACGTAAATATCTCTCAGATATTCAGGCCTTCTTTTAACAACCTAATTAGCATGTTTTCTTTATAGGAGAAAAGAAGTGGGTGACGATTAGTGAAAAAAGCGTGGCCCAGTTCTGGAAATGCAAAAATGCCAAATTTTTAAGCGCCCTGTACGCTTCCATGTCCTGTACAATGCACCCTTGCACTTAACCTGAACTCTTGGTGGAGTAACACAGTGAATTAATAGTTTGATAAAAAGCCAGAAAATTGTAAAAAAAACACAAAAACATAATAAGCAACTTAGTCGTGCAAAAACGCCCATACAATTTGTAAATTAGTCGAATGGATTACATTAATTACTTGTCTTGGTTATGAAAGAATTGTGTCTTTGGTTGAGTTTCATACACCCAACCGGGAGCAAACACAGCAGCTGACAGAGATGCTTGCTTGATAACTGCTAAAGCCTAAAAAGGTGTGGCAAAGAGAGTTATATAAGTATTTAGTTCAATAAAAATAATCCACCTTATTTGTGTTGTACCCTCCATCACCATAGCATTTTCTTCCAAACACATCTATTCCCACATACACATCTCCCCTCCTATGACCAGCAAAGGTAGCAGTGGCATAGAGTAGAGGCACTTTCCATAGGTAGTTGAGGAATATTCCGTCGCAAAGTTCAAAAAAAGGCCTAGTTGTAACAATGTTAATAATCAGAAAAAATATTTCCAACACTTACTGATTCATCTTATTTAGAGCATTTTGCCACTTGAGATTTCCATCAACAGTTACACTGTCATACCAAATAACCTTTGACCATGGTAGAGCATTGTGCATACCAGTGGTAAGTAGAGACAGAAATGTAAACAAGTTGTCCATCAGAGCAGACTATAAAAAGAAAGGTATCACATACACACAGAAAAATAAAATTTAACAAGCAGAAAGATGGTAACACCTTACTATTAAGTGAATAGTACTTGGAAATCAGTTTAGATCGAATGGTTGTCAATATTTTGTGAAAGATGTAGCGATTTTGTTCGCATTTTGAGGTCTTGTTGTAGAACTCATTAGCATGTTTATTCTTTTCCTCTATCCCCACATAAATGCAGGAGAGCGGCCGAGCGCAGTAGCCAAATTCATGACAGAAACAGCTATACATTCCCTACAGGAGAGAAAACCAGTGCGCATCTTCACTGGGAGCAAACAGTTTCTCTCCATTATATGCAGCGGCATTCTCTCCACCTTCTACTGTGTATGAACAATAGATATGGCCTGGTTAAGAGCATTGCATATTCACTGATATTTGCCATGTATAGGCCATGCCATTGGCTCTAATACGCTTGCGCATAGCGTTAAAGGAAGAAATGCCACAGTGCATAATGGTGAGGAACTCTTCAACTTTTAGGTGAGGTTGTGCATTTCTCCAGAGGAGGAATACAAATAGCCATGCAATGACACCCACACAATTAGTCAAAGTGAAGAGTCGAAACTGCTATTATGTTGTGTCGAAATTAGCAAGCTTCTTCTCAATGTAGAAAAGAGAGTGGCAGCTTTGGCCACTTCAACAGGGTGCTCTTGTGAGCGCTTTTATGGTTTGCAAGAGTGATTAAGCAATGAGGTGGGCTATATAGTTTGCATTGACTCCAGAACGTGTTGATGTACTCTCAAGTGAAATAACGTCAAAACCGCATAGCTGGACTAAACTTAATTAAGTCACTTGCTCGAAGTCACCTCTGCGACCTGCCAGTCCCCCAGTCTACCCACAATTAGTGCATAGCTGGTTTAAATTGAGCAATCTGATTGGTCCACACGAGGTACTTGATTTCCCGTAGAATACCTGGGACGCTCCGTAGTAAACCTTGTTTTTCATGTAAAACTTTCACATGAAAATGACAAGATCACGTACATAATCTACAGAAACATGTAGCTTTATCGTCTGCAATATTTCTTTTTTAGTTTCAACAGTATGCACAGAGAGACAAGATGTCTGGGCCTAAGCGGCTGTACGCTAGCGCTAGCGGTACGTCACGCCCGCGGATACGTGCGCGTAGAGTGGGGAGAGCCCTTTTCCGCGAAGCGCGGAGCGTGTGCTTTCTGCCTATCGTTTCTGGCTCGCCGCTGGTGGCTGAAACCTCGCTCGAGTCGGTTACCAGTCGCGTCTTCACGCTCATTCGAATTTCAGTCGCCTGGAAACGGGCGCTGTGCGTGTGCGGATTTGTCTGCTCTGCACTAAACATGTTAGTTACTCCGTATACTCGGGAACTACGGGATTTGAATGAACCTTCGAGCCATCCGCGTAGTTGCCCTCGCTGCGCTCGGGACACTACACAACGCGTAGTTCCCTCGAACGGAGTAACTAACTTATATTTGTTATACGTTGGGTATGCTTGTAGCCTACTCGGTTGCTTCAGTTATAATAGACCATTTGCTCCTTTTGCTCTGGAAGTGGCTACTAGTGTACAATCCGTGCACTGCCATCATACCTATAACATACAGAGAAAACTAAATCCTATACTCCAAAAACACTTACATTGATATGATTTTCGATGTTGACTAACCAGCCGTCAAAGTGATAATACAGTGCCATCGTTACCATTTGCTGAGCTAATTGCACGACTGATTCCTTACTACTTAGTAGTTCCGCACACAATGTTGCACCATCCTAAAAGAGAGAGAGAGAGTTGAGAGTTTTCGCCCATATTTGATTCACGTACAACATTACGGTAAGTGCAGTGCAGGTCACAACAAAGATATATATAAATTGCTACGTAGACAACTAGGCTAACCCAGCTTGTACAGGTGCATAATATACAGCCTTTAGGGGCATCTTTTCTTGTGGGGTGCCACTTGCAAATACCTTTATATTGTGTTGCGTAATAATTCACCTAACACTGGGGGAGTGGGAATCCCAGTGCACTGAATGGTTTAGAGTTTGGCATACGCAGTAGTTTTATCACAACAGTCCGCTCCAACATGCTCAACTATAGCACATCCATTTGAAGGTTTTCTTTGCATTTCTTGTGTTGTGGACATTATCTCTGCTCAACTCAGTTGGTTAAGTGCTCAGCCTATAACTGCATTAAACCCGACCTCCTTGACAAAAAGGGTTGTCCTAGGTAGTGTTTGTTTTCCTTGTAACTTTACATACATAGGTACGAGGACTGGTGCCAGAGCGCACAAGTGGGACATACATAATTGCCTTATTTCTCCACTGAATATGCTTTGAAGGAGACAATTTGACCCCATATAGTAGGTGTGCTATTATTGAGTTGCTAGGTGGCCGAATGTCCCTCCGCAATAGTCTACATACTTTCCACTCAGTTATCATTGTTCCAAGTGCAACTTTTCCATTTCGATGGGCAGCATTAATCCAGCCAGGAGGTGGAATGGACAAGAACTGGTGACTGAAGTAGATGAAACCTTCAATGAGTGCCCAGTGGTAGAAGTAGTAGTCTTCAAACAGACTGGAAACAACAAAAGCAAAATAATAACATTGCAATGTGCGGATGATAGTGTTCTGACCAAAAATATTTGTAACTCTCTATTTATAGTTGCAGGATAAAAGTATTTGAAATTGGTAAGTGCATGAAAACCTTTATTGCTAGTTGCAGTATGTATATGAGAGATTTATGATAAGGGTAACAAGGCAGCTGCATTGGAGTAAGTACTATTTGTGACAGCAAACCATATTAGTTAAAGTGTATGTCATGCAATTTATTTATCAGAAGGAGACAATGAATATGCCAACAGGAGGTCTTTGAGTACTATTTTTCCCAGGCTCTCTTTTAGAGCCTGTTATATACATCAGAGTAAAGGTGATACGTTAAAGGTACCATCAAACATTTAACTTTGAATACCTCTGACAGTGAAATCATAATGCGCAGCGGAATCTGATTTGCCGACATGCCCATAATTTTTGTGTGCTAAGCACATTGAGCAAGTATTCCAACCCAGTATCAGATTGTGTCTGGGGAGTTGCAGGGTGTCACTGGTGGAAGGGGTGAGTTGAGGTGTCTTGGAGGTGAGACAGACACTTCATTGTATGTTCATTTGTTAACGGTTCCGCCCATTGCTCTGGGTGCGTGGTCTAGTGCTATGGCAGCCACCTGAGTATTATTACTACTTGTTGTTTACATCAACATGACGTTTAACACCAGGTAATGGAATCTCATGGATGTACAAAGTTTCATCTCTAGCTATACCTCACAGGTTTTGAGATACGCTTGTCAAAACTGAACACGAGAACAACATTAACAAGAATTCGGACTTTCTTGATATAATTGAAAGGATTTTAAGCCATTTTTAGGTACACATGTATTTTTATCATACGGATTAGACTGATATGTCAGAAGTCGGATCTGATCGAAAATGAAAGTGAAATTTATGCTGAGGGACCCTTGTCATCCCTATATACTACGTACTACCGTACTTAGTGATTTAGCCTTGCCTTTTATGATATGGCAATTAGTTCTAGCATAGGCAAAAAGGCAGGGCTGTATACTTGAATGGATAGTACCATAAAGTTCTAAGTTGGCCGGTTGTGCAGCTAAATACTTCAACTACATGTAAAAAGACATTCAACAACCCCAGAAAAATCAGTAAGTACGTTAATACTTAGTACAAGTAAATCCTGCAAATTTTAAGAAAGAGGCATATAGGGGTGGTATGAAAAGAAAGGGAGACAAGATAGGGATGTGATACATGAAGCGTGGTTAACGAACAGATTTGAGCAAGCTGAACCCCCCCGACTCCATCACACAATCTCTATATTCTTGCCTGGTGTGCCACTCTTTTAAACTGTTGGATTCTACGGTGTGGTAAATTCACAGGACTTTTAATATACTTGTCTCTACTTATTTTTATCTACTACTACATAAACGGTGCGAGCCCCCTATAAAATTAATAATGGAAAAAGGTGCCTGTTGTCGTCATGGAAATGATTTAATACGCATGCGTACCAAGTTTCATCCCCATGCGTGCTACCGTTTACAAGTTGTAGGAATGAAGAAGTAATTTTTAAGAAAAGTGCCTGAGGCTATTTGTTGTTGCTTAAAAATTTAGGGTTGTCATGGAAACGATGTAATATGCATGCATACCAAGTTTCACCTCCATGCGTGCTACAGTGAACACAATGCAAACAAGTCAACTACACCCAGGACAGCTCTTTCGTTTCAAAGAAAAGAAGAAGAGCTGCCCTGGGTGCATACCAAGCTGGCCATGCATACCAAGTTTCACCTTGTGAAGTAGTTTTTTAAAAATGCGGTCATCATGGAAATAATATAATAGGCATACGTACCAAGTTTCATCTCTATGTGTGCTACCATTAGAAAGTTTGAGAAGTGAAGAAGTAAAGTGCCCGAGGCTATTTGTTGTTATTTACAAACATGTATTGTTGTGATTTTGATGTTGGCTATTGAATACATTATGTGTGATACAAAACTTTCGTCCACACAGATCTTACCATTTGTCAGTTACACTGACACATGTATGCTGCGTTGCAATTTTGTTGTTGTTTACAGTAAACAACATTGTTGAAAAACGAAATAAGTACGCACAGTCTCTCCGCAATACAGATATCTATACTAGTGGAAATGTTGAACATTGTTGGCGAGCGGGAGCGACCCAACTTGGGATTTGTCTGCGATGTTCGGGCTGCATAACGTGCCGTCTTTCCTTTCGTGAAGCAAGACAGATCTACCTGTCGCCGTTACATGCGTATTGTATATTGCCAGAACGGTGAGCAGGTGAGCAGGTGATCAGAACGGTCCTTACCTCACGCTTTCAGCTTGTCTGTCGTGGTCCACCAGGCCAGCTGGCATGGCAGTAGGCTAGGCAGCGATCGATCGGGCTGCCCGACAACGTCCATCAGGTAGCTGGCATGCAGCAGTATGTTCACGAGCAATGCTAGCGTATTTGCAGCTTGGAACCATGAAGACTGGAAAGGGGTACAGCCTCGGTCAGTCACCGAAGGTTGCAGAGCATGCCGTCGAATAGAGGAGTGTTCTCTGGCTGGCTAGATCGATCGGCGCATATCGTGAGGCATGTGTGTGAAAATGTGTAAAAAGTTGGAAATAATTTCGGATAAAAAAAGAAGCGCGTACAAAGCCGCGCATGCGCACTTACACGACGTACGAACGCATAAATTGGCGAGCGGAAGCGAGCTAACCGTAGTGGTCCGAGCGGCGCGATTTTTCTATATATTATATATATATATATATACATCTATATACGTATGTCACCGTACGTCGAGCGTCGCCGAACTGCGCATGCCCGGCCGGCCCGGCGATCACGCCCCGCCCCCTCCCCAGTGCAGTTCGCGCGCGCGCGTAGCCTCGCGGAGCCACGCCTTCTCAATTCGCGCGCGGGAGAAGGCCTGGTGCATTGCCACTTGTTCCCTATTCCTGCAAGACCAATCAGATTGCCGGATTATGCCCGATTCGCGCTGTCGTCTGACTGTTTTTGACTCGACTCGAATTGTCTACTGCGCTCGGCCTACTTGGTCCTGTGCAATGTATCTCACTGTTTTGTGCACACACAAGAGTGACTCATACGATTAGACCCCATTTGTAAGCTCGCTTCCGCTCGCCAAAAATGCCATGCATTCGCCTACTAGTATATATATATAATTACTAGTAGGCGAATGCATGGCATTTTTGGCGAGCGGAAGCGAGCTTACAAATGGGGTCTAATCGTATCAGTCACTCTTGTGTGTGCACAAAACAGTGAGATACATTGCACGCACAGGACGAAGTAGGCCGAAAGGACACGAGCGCAGTAGACAATTCGAGTCGAGTCAAAAACAATCAGACGACAGAGCGAAACAGGCATAATCCGGCAATCTGATTGGTCTTGCAGGAATAGGGAACAAGTGGCAATGTAGAAAAATCTCTCTCGTCGCTGGACTGTGCAGCAATTCTCGATTCGGAGGTGTTCGAGCCTGTCGTGTTGCGTTTCCTCGCAGCATATGAAATCCCTTTCGGATAAAAAGAAGCGCGTACTGCTTGAGCATGCGCAGTTGGACGACGTACGGTGGCATATATATATATATATATATATATATAGAAAAATCGCCTTCCGCTCGCCAATAAATACAGAAAATTCCGCTCGAACGAACGACTAGGTTGGCTTGCTCCCGCTCGCCAAAAAGTTGGAAACTGATGAAAATCTCAATTTATGGGCATAATGCAGGACAAACCTCTGCCATCCCCATTATACTAAGTACTACCGTACTTAGTGATAGGGATGGGCATGGTACCTAGCATCTTAGAGCTGGGTAATTTAAATTGCTCAATCTGATTGGTCCATTCGCGGACTGTAATTCGCGTAGAGCGAATTTTCCGGACTCTAAATAAACTATCCGGACTCTAAATTTGGCGCATGCGCAATGGCTCACTTATGTTGGGCGGAGTCCCCCAGCGGTCTGCGAAGGTTACTGGTAGAGGCGGGCCCGTTGTCGACGTTCTGCCTAGGCTTCCCCCAGCGAGAAAGCAGCGCTCGTTCGTCGTTTCAGATGCACCGAATTTGAATTGCGTGCACACGTTACCATAGCTCTAAACAGCTTATGGTGGGTCCTCTAACAATGAAACTTGGGACATTATTTTATGTACCATGGTGAGAGTTCATCGAAACAGAAATGACAAGTTTTTAAACAACAACATACAGCCTCAGGCAATAAAAACCTGTAAATAGTGTTTGTGCCTCTAACTTGCTTATGGTTGGTCCTTTAACAATGATACTTGATACACTGATGTACCATAATAAGAGTTCATCGGAACAGAAATATGAGTTTGTAAACAACAACAAACAGCCTCAGGCAATAAACACTAGTGTAAATGGGTGTTTGGGCCTCTAATTTGCTTATGGTTGGTCTACTGGCAATGAAACTTGGTACACTGATTCACCAAGATAAGAGTTCATCGAAACAAATCACAAGGTTGTAAACAACAACAAACAGCCTCAGGCAAAAAAAGACTTTTAAATAGTGTCAGTGCCTATAACTTGCTTATGTTGGGTCCTCTCACAATGAAACTTGGTGCACTGATGTAATGTGAATGACGACAAAACGTCTGAGGCGATAGCTTAAGGCCACTAATGTTACTTTTTCCTCCACACAAGTCTTATATTGTCACCACCTTTACTGTTTGTTCAGTGAAGTGCGAGGACAATGGTGAAAGGATTCTGTATGTCGATGGCCAAGGACGTAGCATTGTAAAACTGGTAAGTTGAGAAGTCTTAGACTTCACACAATGCAGTCACAACTGAAAACCGAGCAAATGGTGTTACATGTCTAATGTGGTTATGAAATAAATCATAGATCATACAAGGGAGCACACTCGTACTTTGCGACAATATAGGGCTTGTGTGGAGGAAATTTTACACAAGCTAGCGATGTCAATTCAAAGTATGTAGCCATCATCCATTGTACTACTGCATCACGTTCACTAAGTCATCCCTGTTCTGTATCCTTGCTTCTTATGGCATCCCTATATTCCACACTTCTTTAATTCGAAGAATTTTTTTATGTACTTGTACTACCGTACTTAGTGATAGGGATAGGCATGGCATTCCTCTTATAATTTGCAGAACTTTGTATTTACTTGTAAATTCAACCCACCTGTGACCTTGAACAAAACGATCCTTCTGATACCCACCCATCATGTCATGACAGATAAGTAATTTTGGTGAAGAAGGGTCTCTTGCTGGTTTTACTGAAGCAGTCAGTGGGATGCTGGGGACGCACAAATCATCACGGCCTGGAATCCAATGTAGGGCATCATCCAAATTTGAAAATGGGCATGCTTCTGGGCGGCCATCTGAATCATATCTAATTAGAAATGCAGAACACTTTGAGTGCTTGTGGAAATAGCCCCTTTTACGCATAATTATACCTAGCATTTATTCATGTAATAATATGCGAGTTACACAAAGGATGGTGATATACGACTTCAGAATATCGCAATACAGCATTGGGCACAAGGTTTTTCATCCATCACAAATAAGCTTGAGAATGTGGCAGCACACACTACTGAGTATACTCATCATGATGAGGGCTTCTGGTACTGCCATATCTCCATGGCGGAAAACCAGTATAATTACAATGATGATTGTATCCTTTGGTAGGTGAATGTATTGCAGGAGTGACGGACCACACAGTGACTACAGCTATTTGCATACACATAAAGTACTGCATGTGCAGCGTGGGTTACATAGTTCAATGATGCAATACGAACGAAACACATTTGCGAGCACAGGCGAGTGCTTATTCAGAATCATATAAAGTATTACAGTATGTGCATTGCCCGTCAGATTATTTTGATACCTTTTGCTAACTTTTATACCGCCGTTTCACCGCCATCGTGCATCAGCTCACGTGTTGTTGGAAGTCCCAAGTAAGCCCTTATGGTTATTATGTATGTTAATTTTAGCCATTCTGAAGTCCTGTTTTCTGTATATAGCGTGAGCTGTTCAGTTTTAATGTAACTACTTGGTTTTCAGAACAGTGTCTTGCTGGTTTCATTACCCCGGTGGGCTGATACATACCGCAATAGCATGTTAGACTGCCACATTTACTTTCCTTTATTATGAGATCGGGAATATGGAGTCATCTGGTAGGGGGCAGCCACTAGCCTGGCACACCAAGGTGGTGCACCACGATCACGGGTGCCTAAAGGCGGGTTCTGTGGATGATGAGGATTGTGACTACAGCCATGACGGGGTGTCCTGGATCAGGATGGGGCACACCTGAGGATCTGCAGTCTAGGGTTACGACATGTGAGAGCAGAAGGTGTATGACTTGTGCACATATGGTGGTCGGTTATACGTTTGTAAGTGTAAAGCCAGAGTCGGGCGAGGAATAAGACTGATTATAGTTCACGCATGCGTACAATAAGTATGATGATGCAATAATGATACGTATAGGTAAATGACAGTTCAATGTCCTGAGCTCGGTTACATCACTCTGTCCTTTACAGCCAGTTTGTCCTGAACTGTCCCTGTCTCTTGTAATGACTTCCATCAGACGCAGTGGCTGACGTTGACGGGAGTGGTCCCTCAGTGCATAACGTTTGTTGTTAGGTGGCGGCCCTTGCACAGTTTCTGGAACCTGCTCTGGATCGAGTTTATCTTCCCCAGTTAATGGGAAGGGAAGAGGATCCGTCTGCGGTGGCCCTCCTTCAGAGTCATTCATGGGGGTTGACTGCTACACGTTAGGTTCAGCTGACATGGGAGAATGATCAGGGTCCTCATCTGTCAGTCCATCATGAGGGGTCCTCTCTAGTGAAACAGTACTCCCTGAGTGCGGGTTAGAAGTTGCTGTATCCACTGCTGTTGCATTGAGCATACGCTATAACCAGGTAGGTGTGCATCGTCTTTTGGCTCCATACCAATACAAACCTGCTGGCAGCATCACAGGACTTGGACACACTCGTAGCTGATTGATGGTGAGGGCAGGATCTTGGGGGAAATAGACTTTTTCAATGGTCAATTTCCGGTATTGCTTAGCAGTTACTTGGAACGGACCTTACCAGGGTCTCGAAAGTTTACGTTTTCTTCCTGTTTCCTCCTCGGGGAACCGCATGAATACCCAGTCCCCTAGACAAAAGTCGATGGCCTTGGCTCTCTTATCATACTGAGCTTTGTAACTCTTTTGCGCTCGTAGCGGCGAGCTCCCGGGCCGATTACAGTGACATCATGAGCTCCTCCCGGTAGCTTCCCAGATCAGTAGGGTCGAGTGAGTCTGAAGGAAGAGCGGCGGCCTCGATTGGTGACTTGAGGTCGATCCAAAACAGCAGGAACAAGGGCTTCTTCTTGGTCGACTCATGGGGAGTTCCTATATGCCCACAGGACTCCCAGTAGGAATCTGTCCCACTGACTGTGAAACTTTGCTTCCTAAGCATGGTTTTGAGGGTACGATTCAGACGTTCGACCATACCGTCGCACTGGGTGTGGTATGCAGTGGTGTTCAGTTTCTTCACTCCGAGGAGCTCACAGACATCTTTCATAACATCTGCCAGAAGATTGGCTCCGCAGTCAGACAGCAAGGCGTCCGGGACGCCAAACAGCGGTAGGATTTCCTCAGCAACGAGACGAGCGATCCTGATAGCCTTCTGGTCTGGTGCCGGGAAGACTAGCGGCCACTTCACCAGAAGATGATCACGTACCGGTTTTCATGCTCCGTAGCTCCATATCTACCCTGATGATTTGGAATGTCTTTTTCACTGGGATAGGATGAAGTGGAGGTCGGCAACACCAGTCACTGTCGCACATTCGCCACAGCTCTTACAGAACTCCAAGACATCCCGATACATAGTACGCCACAACCACTGGCGACTGAGTGTGGCGTACATGTGAGCCCCCGAGAAGTGACCTGCCATCCTTCCCGCATGGTAGTCTTCAAGAAGCGACTCCTGCAGATGTCGTGGTACTGCAGCTCGACGTTCTCTCTTCCCGTCCATGAAATACAGGACACTGTCCACGATGGTGAAGTTGACGGCCTGGGCAGCCACGGCTCTGGCAACCGTATCATCTTCGGGTAGAATTCCAAATTCCAGGAACTGTCGCAACTGATGAAGCTCTGAGTCCTTCTCTTGTTCCATATCAAGGTCACAGGGGGAATATGCTCCTGGAGTGTCATGAAGTAGAGTAGAGATGCCCAACTCCTTGCTGGTTACTGCTGCAACTTAGACATCAAGATCGTGGTGTCGGGAAGTCTCCGTAGGGTTACGAAATGAACCCAAGGTCGAAGTTGGGGTAGACGAGCACGGGTGCCTCCATGAGTTTCTTTTTCAACTTGTCAAGTGCCTCCTGGTAGTGGCTGGTCCAGGCAAACTGACTGTCCTTCTTAGTCAGCTGGTGCAAGGGATAGGCAATTTTCGCAAATCTCTGGATAAAACGTCTGTAATACGACCACACTGCCGTTCTTGCTGAGCTTTAGCTTTAGGCCTGCAGAGTGTAGATGGTCTAACACAAGGCTGATGTGGTGAAGATGCTCTTCCATTGACTTGGAGAATATTAATTATCGTCAATGAAGACAGAGACAAAGTTGGAACCCTCGACCGAATTAAGTCCACTGAGCATGGTCTGCATAAGGCACTGAAAGACAGCTGGAGCATTCGTTAAACCGAATGGAATCACTCTGAATTGCAAACAGGCCATTTGGAGTGATGAATGCTGTCTTCTCGATGGAGTCGTCCACCACTCGAATTTGCCAATAACCGGCTGCAAGGTCTAAAGTAGTAAAATACTTCGCACTCCCCAGCTGGTCCAGGAGGTCGTCTATTCTCGGCAATGGGAAAGTGTCAAGTTTTGTCACGGAGCTGAGCTGACAGTAATCGACACAGATACGCAGCTGCATTTTTCTTGCGGACCAACACAACTGCACTAGCCGACGGGCTACTGGAGGGCTGAATCACTCCCTCCTTCTGTATCTTCGCCAACTGCTTAGCAACTTCCTGCCTGTGGAAATGAAACTCTTCTGACAGGCTGTCTCGTCGGAGTTGCGTCACTCATCTCTATGCTCATTTCTGTCAGGGCCGTCCCCGCCCCTCTAGCAGACTGAAGGTATTGTGGTACTTCCCCAGTAGATTAACCGGTTGCATTCTCTCATGCTCTGGAACGGTGGAGAGGTGGTGTTGGAGTAGGCTAGTCAGCAGTTCCTTCCGGTGTTTGTCGTCGGACTGGCTTCCAGAGCCAACAGAATACACATGTGGTTGCTCCCCATTTGGCTAAACTGCTATCTCAACGGGCACTGCTCCGCCGATCTCAGTTCCCTCTGCAATCTTATGGGTGAGCGAGTGAGAGTTGGAGATGAGTACCCGAACCACACCATCGGCTGATGGCTTGACGAGGCACTAGCGATGTGTGCGCCAGGCTCCAGCCCCTGCTGCTCGTTGGTCTCAATCAGCATGAACTCCGGCTGTGACCACTTTCCCTGCCCACCTGCACCTTTCCCAACAAACCTAACCCCCGCCATTATACTCTCCCGAGGTTTCAGCTTCACCATCTCAACTAGTTGTACCCTGACTGCAGGCAACAACACATCACTCGTGGCCTTTTCCTTGCTGTGATTGTCGCCAGGTGTTACTTGTGGGTGGTAGCTAATGATACCCAGTTGGTGACACATTCCTTCAGACAGTAGGAGTGATTCCTTTGCATCCATCTTCAGATAGATTGGTGTCTTCATGGTCTCCCCTTGAAAGGTAACATCTAGGTCCAGGCATCCATGGCTGGTTTCAAGTCTCGCTTCCTCAACTTAGCGACAGCTGCGATACGATTGAACACCTCCGCCCCAACAATAGTCATGTCGGCTGCTGGAGCTCTGTACTTGCTGAGTCTTCCCTCCCTTGGTGGGTCGTTCTGATTTCCCTCACTTACAGTCAACAGCTATGTCACCTGTCTGCTGAAAGTTCCAACAACGAATCAGAGAGTTCTTGTGTCCATTACCACCATCGCTCTGCTCGTTAATAGGCCGACGATTCTTTGAGCCCCCCGATTTGGGCGAACTCGTGTGTTTTTGTTCAGACAGATAATATCTCCGCTTCTTGAGCTCGGCGAGACGCTTCCCTTCAGCCTTGGCTGCCAGATACAGGTTCTGGTAATCGGCTGCACTGGAGACTGCGGGAGACTCCATTATCTTCAGTCCCTCCTGCAATTGTCCATACATAAGAGTGTTCCTGGTCTCAACAGACATCGCCTCACGACGATAGTTTCTCTTTTCCTTCTTTCTTTCTATGTATATAGCGTGATCTGTTCAGTTTTCATGTAGAAAACTCTGCATAGCGACAAAGATGTAGGTTTACTTCCGCCACCATCAACCTGCTCATAATATTTTGCTTTGGACTATATCTTGTTGAAGATTGCTTTATAAACAGTCACTTCACTCACCAAATAAAACATAGATACATACCTCAGACCATCAACCCGCTCATAACGTTTTGCCTTGGGCTATATTTTGTTGCTGAAGATATATAAACTGTCTGCTTTGAGTGAGCAATGGAACAAAGATATAGGAATAGTGTCATGTCGTTTGTGTGTCTTTGCTGCGAAATGATCCCCTGTTCTTTCCTTCTTGGTGCTTTGAACCATCCCAAGTCAGCGCTGCAACTTTTTCCAGTAAGGAGATAACAGGTCTAATGAAGATGAAGATTATGAGTATGACACGAAAATCGCAAAATCGCGTATGAGCGAATTCTCAAGTGGAGAACTGATGGCACATATCAAGTATTTGGGCATATGTATAGCTAGATATTGGCCCGTATACTATTGCTAGTGATTTTTGAAGCCTAGTGAGTCATTCTTGCAGAGTTTTGAGGCATTTTGTAGCGCATCATGTAAAATTTGACCTTCTCCATCCATATATAGAGTGTCTACCAACGCTCTAATACACATAGCTCAGACCAGGCCACACATTGCTTCAGGCTATTTGTTGTTATTGAACTAGTAGAATGTTTAACATTGTAGACGAGCGGGTGCAACCAAACTGGGACAGGGCTGACACAAGAATTTGCGTTATAAGCCTAGTTTAGAAAGCGTTCCAAAACAAATGGACCAGGAAATTTCTATACTGGCATATGTAGTGCCAACCAGCAACGTTAGAGCATGTGGACGATGGGTTTGACATTCAAGTAGAGGTAGATGTTTCTCTGTGACGGAGTTTCTAGCGCTTATCTCCAGCGGTCAGCGAATCTTATCTGTTGGAGGCGTGTGTCACGATCTTCAGATGATGGTGCTTCACGGCATGCTCTCTCCCGCGCCCTACGTTGCGACAGGCACGTCTCTCTCTCCTTGGCTGTCTCAGAAGCAAGACGCTTGTCTCCGGCTAGAACATTGCCTTGTCAGTCAGCGGTCCCGGGTGACGATGGTTTCTAAAGCGCGACTCTCGGTGTCACTCCCCCTACGTGCTGAAGGATCCATGACTACACATGTGGTAATTATTTTAAAATATTTTTATATTATACAAATAATCCTACGCAGTGTCGAGGTAGCAACAAAGAACACAAAAAACAAACAACAACAAAAACAAAAACAAAAAATATATATATCTAAATGATCCCATCAATCCAAGCTGAGTGAGACGGAAGGCGGCGAGCCTACATAGTAGCATTTCCTCTCCACAAACAGATGGACAAGCGCTGGAATAAATGTGAAACTGCTTCCGTGGGGGAGGTACCAAGCCTCTGACTCACTAGTCTGCCGATTCTGAAGATTTGTAGGGCTGCGCCATGGCTCCAACCTCCCAACGATTCCACAGCAAGGGGAACAAACGACACTCCTGCGCCTCTGCATTCAGCATTGTGAGCTACCATCTTTCTTTCCTCGGCCACTTTCAGAGCATACCCCTTCTCGGAAGCAGCTCCTGGTAGTGTGAGCGGTTGCATAGTGGAGATAATAGTAACGTCTGAGGCAGCAGGGGGCCCCCTGCACAAGTTGGGGAGAAGTATGTCGGCCGGACGGGATATGGTGCCTGGGATCAGGGTAGGGACCTCTTTTCGAGGGGCCAGTGCTGCAGATTGGGCGGCTGAAAAAAGGGCGTCCCGGATAGCGTCGTGTCGGTGGATTCGGTCCCCATTGCCTCCACAACCCACTTGATGATCACCAAATGGGTAAGCAGCTGCGGATTTGCCACATGCAGAACAGGAGCTGACATTGTCTGCCATTCTGACGCCCAACCAATAATAATATGGTAATGTTGCACTTGGCCCAGCGGTTATTTAGAGTCACGTATAACATTACGGTATGTGACGTATATACCCATCGCGAGATAGAAAATTTAATCGGCCCTTTGCAACGACTAGGTTTGCTTGCTCCCGCTCGCCAATTACATGACTGACTGACTATTGCAAAGTGACTATAACCTGGCAAATTGGGCAAAACAATGAACCTCCTTATTGTCGCCACGGCATGTAGAGTCTGAGTGATAGTGCAACAGCATCTTCCAGCTTTTCTAGCTCAACTTGCAGCACAAATAGGACACAAAATTATTGTGTATGTGGTGATGAGCGAGCGCATGTTGGAGGTTTTATGAGTATATATGAAATGTGCTGTACACAAATAGAAATTGTGCAGTATGTATATTTTATGCCTTTTAAATACGGCCTGTTTTGTCGTCTTCACTGTATTAAAACAGTTCAAAGTCTGTGGTAATTGGCGAGCGGGAGCGAGCTAACCTAGTGGTCCGAACGGCGCGATAATATGTAACCGAACGTCGTCACTGCGCATGCGTTTGAATTACGCACTTCTTTTTATCCGAACTGATTTCAAACTCTGTCTACATTATGAGTGAGGAATTATGCTGCGCTAATTTGAGAAGTGTTTGGACTGCTCAAATCTGAGAATATTGGGAATATTCCACCAAAATTTTCTTTATCACCGAACAAAATTTACGCGCCCTCACCCAATCATGTTAATGGCGACTAGCTCGATTAACTTGACACTAAAGTTGTTAAAATTAGTAGCCACTATTAATAGTAATTTTAAGGTATAAACAGCCACCTTGGTGCTTGTCGCGGTGCTTTTCGGGAGACACTCTATGACAGAGCAGCGTCCTCCAAAACTTAAAAATAGGTCAAAGATTACAGGCTGTTGTTGCTGCCTTTCTTACACAGTGAGAGACATTGTCGCTTTTCCGGATGTTCATTTTACCTTGGGGGGCATCTTGTTCTTATCGGGAAAATATTTTCTCACTACAACACTCAGATGAAAATGATGCCATCTTCAGCTTTATTTTCACTGCCTGAGTACACTAAATACGCAAAAGCTCTCCTTGTTACAACCGATGACATCGAAGATATGCAGCACCAAACCAGCTATAAAAACACTCCTAATCGGTATGTGACACCTCTTAGTGATGAAAAAACTGATTCATAGTGTTTAAAAAAATTACCAAAGCACTGGTGTTTTTGCTAAGGTAATTAAGGTAAACACTGTTACCACCCCTGTGCGCGATGCTTCATTTGGGTGTGCAGGGTGCAGAAATAGGCTACTTCATTAGAACCTACGAGCTGCCAGAAACGCAATACGTGTTTGAAATTGGTATTGTGTTACAGTGGATTACTTACAAGCAATAGGAAAAGGATTTCAGTTTCAGCTTTAAGAGGAAGGGGGTGTTTTCTCAATTACGACAGCATAAGTGGATGTAAATCACGAAAAAAGCTGGTTGCTTCGCCACAATAACTGCCAACATTGTCCTAGCAGTAGGATGTGGGTGTGGTCTGCCAGCATGAATGCTGTATTTACAAAAATGTGCACTGGAGAAGGTTGGAAGACAGCAGCGCTCCAAGCCCCGATTTTCTTTCTGCATGAGAGTCTAACTAACATGTCCACGGGCTTAGGAATTTAAGGGTGCACATATGTACCTCACAACTACAGCATTAGAATTCAGTTTTGATCAGAAGCACTTTCACATAACCACAACTATACTCAATTTCTCCAGTTAATAATGTGGCACAGAGCTACGTAGCAGCTCTGCATAACTCCGTAAAACTCAGGTGAACATGCACTTCTGGATTTAAGACTTCAGCTATTGCATCATCTACCCATTTTGTACCCATATTATATGGCTCTAGGGCCACGAAATATTGTGAAAAAATAAAACTCAAATTTTCCTCCCCCAAGCTTGTTTTTGTGTGTACTAGGGTCAACTGTTAGCTGATCACAGTCCTTACGCACGTAAAATCAGACTGATGCGGACTTTGCAGGATAGAGAAATCTCCCGTTGCTACGATTAAGTTGTTTCGCCTCCGCCCGCGAAACACACAATCATTGTTGCAGTACACAAACCTTGTTAATTGATCTGAAGTGTGCTTAGCTGATAATGATGTGTTAACTGTGTTTTTACACACACTTCTTTGCAAAAGGGAAGACCATTTTGTCCAAAAATTAGTTATCGAGCCATCCGTTTTTAACTGGCTTTCAGGTAGTGCAGATCTTTTACAGAGCTTTGAAGTACCCTTTGCTGCAAGCAAAAGAGCAATTGCAGCAGCTTGAGAGGGTTCCATTCTTTTACTCTTGCCATTAGCACAATCATAATTAGTGCAATTCTCGTGACCACAGCCTCGTGTTAACTGCTCAAAGTAGAGTGTTATAAGCTTCTGTACACTTTCCCTACACAAAAGGTATATCAGTTTACTATACTAAGCAGGCAATTAGTTTACACACACAATAATAATAATACTCAGATGGCTGCCATAGCACTAGGGCCATAGACCACGCACCCAGAGCAATGGGCGGAACCATTAACAAACGATCATACACCATATGAACATGAGGTGTCTGTCTCACCTCCCAGACACCGCAACTTACCCCTTCCACCAGCAACACCCCAGACGCAATCTGAGACTGGGTCTGTTGTACGCTGGGATTATCGCCGTATAACCTAACCTTTCTTAGCTCCCAAACATCCAAAATAAAACCTTTAACAAGGCCAAAAAAGAACCAAATTTATCCTCCCACAGCTCACTACCCAATATAAAGGATGCTTTCCTAAAACTATCAAGCGACTGGAAATGCTCGAACCCATCGTCCCCAAGCTTCCCCTGCAAGGCAACTAAGAAATTGCTCCGATACACTGGACACTCCCACAACACATGACTCACACTTTCACACTCAGCATCACACAACAGGCACTCCTTCATCCCCTCCCTCCCCCAGTTCCTCATTAATAGCCCATGCGTGCCTGACCTGAACTTAAACATTAATCTAGACCCAGCATCACTTTTCCCACACGATAAGGTGTGGTAAAATGATAATTGAGTGGCACAATTTGCAGCAATAAAAACAGCAATAAGAGGGTCCTATTTAATTTCTAATCCTGGTTTTATGGGCAGGTACAAGAATGGAAAGGTGCTAAGTATAGCACCTCTAAGTGCCACTCCTAAAATCAATTTTGGTCTCTATAACAGGATTTTGGTCAAATGACACTTTTGTACTGTGGTATATACAATTTCAAAGCCATTAGTCCTGACATTACACTTAACTTAGGCAACAATATAGGGATTTTTCACCTAGGTAACAATATAGGGATTGTGTGATGGGGTTTTGGGTGTCAGCGTACTCAAATCTGTTCATTAACCATGCTTCATTTATCCCATCCCTATCTTGCGCCTGAAGCTATTTCAACATGTGGTTGTCATGGAAACATGACGTTGTCATGGAAATCATGTAACATGCATGCATACCAAGTTTCATCTCCATTTGTGCTACCGTTAGCAAGTTTGAGGAGAAGTGCCTAAGGATATTTGAACAATATGTAGTCGTCATAGAAACATGTATTTGTCATGGACTTCATTCATCGAATTATTATCTAATGGTAGCATGCATGGAGATTAAACTTGGTACCTATGCCTATTACAATGACGACTATATATTTAACTAAACAACACAAAAATAGCACCGGGACTTTTCTTCCCTTCACTTCTCAAAAAACTCCTTCTAATGGTAGCATATACATGGTGATGAAACTTGGTACCCATCCGTACACCATAATTTCCATGACGACTGCTTGACTAACGTTTTGTAAACAGCAACAAATAGCCCCAGGCACTTTTCTTCAAAACGACTTCTTCACCTCTTAATTGAACCTAGTGAGATAAATCTTGGTATGCATGCATAGTGGCCGATATTCCGAGATCGCTTGCTCCACAACTTGATCATACAATTCCCCCCATACAACTATACCCACACAGAACATTCCAGAACACAGAACATTCGAGAACAGTCACGCTTACAGCACCTAGTGATTGCATAACATAGATTAACCATACATACAGCATACTACAGTACTCTGTTACATAGCTCCCCTCTTCCTGAAGAATTCGTCTCGAATTGACGATGCGTATGTTCCATACCGTGTTGGGGGAGCACAATCTCTGGGATACCTTCGACGTGGCAGCTCCGTTGACGGGGGTCGTCGGGGTGGGGGTGATGAGACTGGTGTGGTTGGGGTGTCACTGAGGGGTGAGGTGACGTGTCATTAGCTCCAGGGGAAGTAGAGGCCAGTGGGGCAAAGGATTCGCCTCCTGATGGCAGAATAGATCTTGGGGGTGGCATCTCCAGTCTGTAAAGTGTGGGTAGGTTTGTCTCCCCTGAATCGTCATCGACCAGCTCTAACCCAGTGCCGACTGGGACCCCAAGAGGGGACTGCGGAGGCCTGCGAGGACGTTGTTCCCTTATCTCTGGCTGTCCCGTACCAGGATAGCAGAGCTTCAGCCAATCAAAGTGCACCACCACCCGCTTCCTGGGAGCCTGGATATGCTGGAGCGATAAAAGGATTCTGAAAGTCTCTCCAGGACATGGAATGGGCCCATCCAGGGCCTATGGAGCTTTTTCGACTTTTCCACGTGGTATTGCTGGGCTGTGCAACCAAACTTGATCACCAACCTCAAGGCCTTACCGTTAGTTCTGGCATTGTAGTGATCTTTTTGTTTCTCCTGCATGCCCAATCCTTGTCAGTAATTTGAGTTGGTTTTGGCTCTGTACTAGCAAAGCCTTGTGGGGATGAATCTCATTAGTTCAAAACCACAAGTGCTGCGCTCAACTTAGCCTGGCGCGATGGTGCCAGAGAGGGAAGTTGTGGTATGCTCAGCTGATGAGGGCCAACAAGCCTGAAACAGCTGTCCAGAGCTGGCATCTTTTTTTCTCTTGGCATCACATGGTGTATATTTTTCATGTCTGACTCTGCACATACTGGTAAGCAGTCTCGAGACTGTTTCGAGGTTTACCACATATGGGGGGGACTGTGGTAGGGGTTGGCGTTGCAGTCCTTAGCATAATGTCAACAGGCATGGGGGCCTGGCGTCCAAACATCAAGAAAAATGGC